TATTAACACAGTATATACACTACTGTGCATAAGTCTTAGGCCATTAGTATTTTCACCAACAAAAATGGGTTTAAGGCAGTTATTTCTATCTTTTGCTGTAGTGTGTCAGTAGAAAATACCAGTTTACATTTTCAAACATTCCTTTTGCCATTAATTGTAATAATCCAGTGAGATGTTTGTATGCACAAGGAGTCTGACAACAAGCAATGCTCCACACAGAGATCTGATCTCACCATCATCCAGTCAGTCTGAAATGACATGAAGAATCAGAAAAAAACGAGAGACTAAATCCAGAAGAACTGCAGCAACGTCTCCAAGACACTTGAAGAAACCGTCCTAAGCTACCTGAAAAATGTGTAAGTGTAACTAGGACAAAAGCTGTTTTAAACGCAAAGGGTGGTCGCACCAAATGTTGATTTGATTTAGTTAATAGAAGTTAATTGATAAATAAAATCAATTTATGACATAATTTTTGAAAGCATCCTCACTTTACAACGTTTACACAAGTGCCTATAACTTTTCACAGTACTGTAGATTGTAGGATGGTTTCTTCAAGTGTCTTGGAGATGTTGCTGCAGTTCTTCTGGATTTAGTCGGTCTCAGTTTCTCTGATTCTTCATGTCATTTCAGGCGGACTGGATGATGCTGAGATCAGATCTCTGTGTGGAGCACTGCTTGTTGTCAGACTCCTTGTGCAAACAAAAATCTCACTGGATTATTACAATTAATGGCAAAATAAATGTTTGGAAATGTAAACTGATATTTCCTACTGACACACTACAGCAAAAGATAGAAATAACTGGCTTAAAACCATTTTTTTGTTTGTGAAAATTTTGCACAGTACTGTATATATCTATGAGTACTGTATGTGAGTCATTTTAGATAATCAGTTTTTGTGTCATGGAACAACCTAAGAGAAGAGCTCCCTCTAGTGATGGTGTATAAAACTACAACGCCAACGGTGATGAGCAGCACAGAACTGATAAACTTTATTCACAAGTAAATACTTACAGGCTACTCCAGACAAATTGACCTAAACATGTTCTAAATATCGTAAACATTATTGCATAATTCATCTGAAAAAGTGACACAAACATACTATAACAAAATCAGCAATGAAATATTCTGAAAGTTTCAATATTTCAGTCAGCAGGCAATTTGGGGATTCTCTTTGAGCAGAATTTAACACTTTGCAATTGAAAAAGATCTACAATCTTCAAATTCTATAAACAGCTCAAACATACCACCACTCGAGTGTATTTAAAAAACCTAAAAACAATAAATTACAGACATGACCTGTAGATAACAGAATAACTGTTTAGATCTACTGTAACATGACATGAAATGATACTGCCAAGCTGTAAATCTCTAAAGGAAAAATACTGGAATCTCTGAAGGTAAACGCTGACGCTGTTATGCAGGAGTGTGAAGTATTTATAGTTCATCATGTTTGTAGGTGAACTCTCGAGCTGATATAAATCCATCATTGTCTTCATCTTCCTTTTGGAAGATGTCCTCAGCCATCACTTCATGATGGGTGTCATTGGCGGCATATCCATGTCTTTCAAACTCTTTACGCAGGTATTCTTTGACCTAAAACAGAAAGGTGTTTAGAATAACACAAATAACTCCCTGAAATTAAAGGGGTGGTTGATCAACTTTTTCCGAAAGCTTGATTGTGTTTATGGGGTACAGTGTAACATGTGTTCATGCTTCGTTTAAAAAAAAACGCATTATTTTCACATAATTTACCTTTATTCTACACATATTTAAAGAATTTGCCACTGACGATTCAAACGTGAGTTTTGAGCAGTGTAGAGTAGTGCTTGTTGTTTGAGTTTTGAGCAGTGTAGAGTAGTGCTTGTTGTCGTAATTATGTCCCCACTGGATGCAACAAATGCCTCGTTTGTAATGGGTTTTATTGGTTTCGTCTCGTCGCTCCGGCTGGGACACGGCATCACAGTATGGTAAGGGGCGTAACATTTCCGTCACACGCTTGACGTATTCGGCCAATCACAATGCACTAGATAGCTGGCCAATCACAGCACACCTCGCTTTTCAGAACGATGAGCTTTGTAAAAATCAACGCGTTTCAGAAAGGCGGGGCATAGAGGAGCAACAATAATGTACAGTATGTGGAAAATAATGTGTTTTGAACCTTAAACCGCATAAACACATTGCATTACACCAAATATACAAAATAATGTTCCTTTTAGCAATGTCATATGACCCCTTTAAACAGCGATTTCTTTAAAAGAAAATATCTCCCTACAGTTCAAAAAGTGAAATCATAATCAACCACCCCTTTAATTATTGGCATTGATGGTTCCATGAAGGACCTTTAACATTCATGTAACCTGTCCACTGCACAAAAAAGTTCTTTATAGTGGAAAAAAGATTACTGGGATTGTTAAAATATTCTTTACACTAAGAAAAAATGGTTCTTTTAAGAACTGTTCTATGAAAGATTCTTTGGGGAACCAAAATGGTTCTTCTACTGCATTGCTACAAAAGCACCTTTGGGAACCTTTATTTTTAAGAGCGTATCATAAATCTCCTGCTTGACGGGCAGCTGCTTTCTGACGCACAGTCGTGAACAAGCAACTGTTTCGACAAACCTCTGCTTTGGAAAGTTTCCAGTCATCATTGAGGTCCATTTCCTGAAAGGACTCATGTGATCTAGGCCCATTTCGGATCTCGATGATCTCGATGTCAAAGATCAGAGTGCTCTCCGGTGGGATTTTACCTGAGAACAGAGCATAGCCATTGTCAATATAGCTAATCTGAGCTATACATTTATTTGTATGGGGCATTTTAGACAGACTTAATGCAACGTCGATGACTAATTCAATATCGGAAGGTGGAGAAAACCACAGTTCCTCAAATGTTTTATGCATATGCATTTTGCTGGCACACCTTTGCCCTCTTTGCCATATGCAAGAGCTGGAGGGATGGTCAGTTTCCTCTTCTCCCCTGCACACATGCCTTGAAGACCCTTGTCCCAACCCTTGATCACCTCACGGATCCCCAAAGTGAACCAGACAGGGTTTTTGTCTCCATGACGGCGGCTGCCAATTACAAGACATGTGCATTAGTAATAAAGGTTAGAAACATTCACACTCTGTTGGAAAATCAAGCTTGAGTTGGTAGCTTTTTTAACGAAACATAGTAGGTGGTTGCTATCTGGTCTAAGCTGGTTTTTGGATCATGGCAGCTGATCAGCTAATGATCTGGACCAGACAGAAACCAGCTACAGTACCATGTTCCAAAACATGAACAATTGTATATCCAATAAATATATATATAGTATATCCATAAACACATTTTGACAGTTAACCAATGCATTCCCAATGAAAAAAGGGCAGGGTTCGGTTAATAAAGTCTGTTCTTGCAGTGTGTAGCCTATAGTGTGTATGAACATGCATTAAATGGTTTATTAGATGTCACCTGGAATGAAACATTGTGCCATTACTCTCCAGAAAGCCTTCGTAGTGAACCAGAAGAATATCTCCGTATTTGGATTTACGATGGCAAAGGAAAGGTTTGTATAAAACCTCTATTTTGACCTCAGGTTCCGGAAGTTTTGCTCCAAGCACGTAAAAGAATAATGCAGAAAAAACGCATGTCCACAACTCTGGAATCATCTTAATATAAAGAACAGTTTAACACTGTTAAACTTTAGCTGATTTTTCATGCACAATAAAGTTCTGAAAAAACTTCCCAAACTACAATTTGTGCAGCCGCGACTACGTGGCAAGCGAAACTTCTTCAGGGGTCTTTTTTTCCCAAACTAGGGATGTCCAGTTCGTGGACGAGTCGTTCGTTTGAATCGACTCCCTTCATTGAATCGGTTGAAACTGTTCACAAACTGGTCTGAAGATTTCTTAGACCGAGCAGTTAGTTCACTATGGAGTCAAGACTGTTCAGTGTTCACAACAGTAAACAGCAGAAATGTTACAAATTAAACACACAGTACTTGACATGTTTATGTATGACATATCGAAATACATGAATCTTATTAAATGTTAAACTCGCGAAATTCTTATTGGTCAAGAGATCATGAATTGTAGTATTTTTCTGAAAATACAAATTACATATTTAGGTGTTAAATAACATTTTCTATTATGAGCTTATGACTTCAAACAAGTTGGGAAATATCACAACTTTATTTAAAAATAATAATAAAAATAATAAACGTAAACGACAGAAATGTTACAAATTAAATGTACTGGAAATGTTTATGACTGTATTACATTTTAAAGTATATGAAACGTATTTAAATGTTAAACTTACAAAATCCCTTTTTGGGTAAGAGATTGTAGTATTGTTTATAAAAATACAAAGTATATATTTAGGTTTTAAATGAAATTTTTAATGAGTTGAATTATGATTTTAGCAAATTACTGGAACACATCACAATTACAATAAAACGTAATAATAAACGACCGTTTAATTTAGATAATGTAATATGCCACGTTGAAATGTCATAACGCGATGGCGTAAAAGACTCGCTAGATGTTCTTCCGAAACGAACTGTTCGAAAGAACCGACTCGCGGACCTCAGATAACGCTCCAAAACTCCCAATGTAAAAGTTACCACCCTGAAATACAACATTGAATATAGGTCAGCTTTTTCTGAGGACGTGCCTTAAGGACCAATATCTAATTTTTATTGGATATTACACACATAGTCTCAGCACAACCACGCCCATCTAATCACACAGTATCCAATGAGAGGTTCGCCAAACGAAAATCCCACAGACTTCATGTCCCTCTGTGATCGCATGGATTGGCATTCTCGAAGCATTTACGCCAGTCGTTTGCGTAATCTCATTTCCCAGCAGTCGCTTTGCGTCTTGCGCGTATAGTTGTCGTTGTTAAAGAATTCTTTCGTGTTTCTTAAAGAGGCTGTGTTGGGCTCAGTTTTGCCACGACTAAGTAATGAATTGTCAAGCGAAGGTCTACCATGGAGGGAGTTGTCTATAAATGGACCAACTATATTAGCGGTATGTATACAGCGATAATTAAAAGTTATATTACGTAAAGCAGGGAAGTCTGTAAAGCTGTTAGCCTGTTTGCTAGCTCAAGCAGTGTATAAATGAAGTTAAGTCATCATCCTCTTTAGCTCTCAATGCCGATATTTTTTCCAAAGCTGGGACCAGCTCAACCACATACTCATCTCATCTGCTAAGACTATTTTCAGAAAAGTTTGTCTTGGTCCTAAGATTATGCAATAGATTCTGTTTTATTCAGTTTAAAAAGCCTCCTCTTGACTGGAAGAGCAAGTCAAACCATATTATGTTCATGGATCTCAAACGCCATCAAATACATTGTTACCTGTGTCAGTTACAGTGAAAATCATGACATACTGCTTTGTTGTTTCTCTTGAAAGGCTGGCAGCCTCGTTGGTTTGTTCTTGAGGGAGGCACTCTTTCCTACTATGACTCTCAAGAAGATGCATGGAAAGGATGCAAGGGCAGCATCAAAATATCTGTGTGTGAAATACAGGGTAAGGAAAAGTTTATGCCTAACCTGAACAGGAAACCTAATAACCATTACATCACAAGCAGCTATTGTTTTTATGCTTCGGGATATCATAACACATGCTTACGCAAGGGGATATTGCTTCATCTTTAGGAACTTTTATGTCCCAGGGGCTGATTTTCATTAAAACTTAACATTCAGCTGCTTTTGTTTAATGAGGTTTATGTTGTAAACGTTTTTTTTTATTATGCTTCAGAACTTATTTTTGCTACTTTTTGAATGTCCTATGTGATTTAATCATTTTAGACTATTAATCTTAATTATAAAAATTCATCATAAAAGTATGAATTATTGAACTGTAAACACAACCTTTTTTTTTTACAATATTTATTGTGTGAAAATGATTTATAATTATTGCCACTGCAACAACAATGTTGCTCCTAATAGATTTTGAGGCAGTGAAGAGCTTGAGATGAAATATAAGACATGTGAGCAGAATAAAATAAAAAGTGAGCAGAATATTTTTATTGTACCTCATTTCTAGCCTGTAGTTTCATCAAATTATACAAAAGTGTGAAAATATTATTTAATTATATTTAGGATGCATAAAATGCTAGATATGAAGTTATCCTTACGAAAACAAAAGGACAAACAAATTATGTGACAAATGTTAAAAATGTACATTTCCGCTGCCATCATTTCCACCATAGAATGCTATTAAACATAATGCTTCATTTGAGATGTGGTGAAAATGACACTGTGATTTGCAATCATTATTGCTTTACTTGAAATGGGAAATTGGAAATGGGAATGGGAAAAAGGAGCAGAATTGTGTGTTCACTGTTGAACACATTATTAGACTAATAAAATAAGTGAGAGTTATAAACAAGTATAGAGAATAAACAAGTTTTTAACAGGGCCAAAAGTGTCGATAGTTGAAGAGACACCCAAGTACTGTATAACAACTATTGTGACTGATCTCATACTTGGCTTATCCATCTTCTTTGTCCTCCCTCTGCCCATTGTAGTTCACCCATCAGATTTCACAAGGGTTGACCTGATCATTCCAGGAGAACAATACTTTTATCTCAGGGCAATTAATGCAGCAGAGAGACAAAAATGGCTTGTGGCGTTAGGGACTGCAAAAGCCTGTCTCACAGACAACCGAACCAAGAGAGAGAAGGGTGAGTGTAGTATTTCTGCCGTAATAGACAAGATATTCTATGTAGATCATCTGACTTGTGTTAATATGACAATGAAATATGATAATGTGATATACACTACCATTTAGGTCGATAGTTTGGGGTCAGTACTAATGTTTTTAAAAGAAGTCTGTTGTGGTCACTAAGGCTGCATTAAAAACTGCAAATCTGAATTTTCAGCAGCCATTACTTCATTCTTCAATGTCACGTGATCCTTCAGAAATCATTCTGATATGCTATTTTGGTGCTCAAGAAACATTTCATATTATTATCAATGTTAAAAGGGTCGAAAACATTCTTTGTTGAATAGAAAGTTCAAAAGAAAAGCATTTATTTGAAATAGAAATCTTTTGTAACAATGAAAATGTCTCCTTGTTTTTTCCAATTTTGATAAATTTATTGCATTCTTGCTGAGTAAAAGTATTAATTTCTTCCAAAAAAAAAAAAAATCTTACTGATCCCAAACTTTTAAACATTGTTGTATATTGTTAAAATATATTAATTTAATAGACAATATGTCAAATACAGGAAACTGTGTTTCATACGATTTCATGAGGACTTATGAGATTACATAACCCATTCAGATCATGACGTTTGTTCATTTTGCAATTTTTCAAAGAGCTGTCAATCCAAGTCTGGGAAGAAAATGAATGTCAACAATAGTCTCTTTTATCTTCTCAGAGCTCCAGGAAAACACAGAGGCTCTGAAAACAAAAATGTCTGAGCTAAAGCTTTACTGTGACCTTCTCCTTCAGCAAGTGAGCAAAATACAAGAAAGTTCTCTAGCGGAGACGACAGCTGATTCAGGGAAGGTAAGGGAGTGTTTGTCTTGAGTCAACCTACACTACGTTTAATGCATCTTTCAAGGACTTGACAAGCTTGTCTAAAATCAATAAAGAGTGTTTAGTAGTTCATACTTGCACTAATGAATTGTATTATCATTCTGATTTTTTGTAGTTTATGTCTCTAGCACAAAAATAAGGGGCAAAAATCAGTCCTAAATGGATCAGACTGGTCAAGCGACTCTAAAACTTAAATTCTGTTTTGCCATTTGTGGGTTTCAGGTAGGGGACGAGACTGGAAATCTAGTGAAGTCCACATGCACCACTTTCTTGAAGACCCTGGAGGAGTGCATGCAGATTGCTAGCCAGACATTCAGTCCAGATCTTCTGAGTCGGACCCCTCCAGGCGCTCCTCCTGTGGCTACCATCAAACCTCAGAAGGTATATTAAACATAACCACCCAATGGAAAATACAAAAGATTGTGCTGTTGTAGATTCAAGTTTAGTTGGTCAGAACCTAAAATAGAAAGTTTCTTTTTTCTATAGATCAAACTTACTGATTCAAGAAATCAGCACCCAGGAGAAAAGTGAGTTCAGTTCATGTTAATTTACTCTTGTGGGTCAGATGTGCTTTTGTTTTTCCTCTACAATGTTTAAAATGTGTGTTGTGCAGACAAAAGGACTTAATAAACACCTCAGGAACATCAGCACAAGAGAGTGGACCAGAAAACGAACCGCCTCCATCTCCTCAAGAAAACATGCCTACATCTCCTACAGGTATGCCAAACATTAAGTTAGTCAGATTCAGACTGATTACATATGAAACATTTGGCAGACCTCAACTATCATTTCCTGTCTTGTCTATGTCTTGTTCTGTTAGGAAGTGGTTTAATGGAGGACCAAGAGGAGTCCATGGAGCCTCATAATGGCTCTTCATCAAGCACACAGAATCCTGAAAAATCTGTAGGAGAGGAGAAGGACATGCCGACAAAACAAGCAGAGCTTGCCCACGAAAAACAACAGGAAGTCTCACTGAGCCCCACACAGAACAAAGAAGAAGAGGTCATTGAAGAAATCCAGGCTGACCTGAAAGTGAATGAGCCTCAGTCTGAGAATAAACAGGAAGAGGAAGATAAGGTGGACACATTCTTCAGTACCATGAGCCACAGGTATGAGGTGCCTCCGTTGCTGTGATCCTTCTGAGGGAACAAGATGAATGTACTGCACACATTTACACTATTCAGAATTTGTTGTTTTTGTTTGGAAAATTAGCTATGGTCATGCTAATGTCACGCTATGAGCTAATAACTACTCTTAGAATTTTGTTTACAGAAATGTGCTGTATGCAAAGTCAGCATTTCAGTAAAAATCAATATTGAGGGACTATAGATCTCCACTGAGCAATATTGTGTCCTAAGTAACCAGGTGCAGCGTGATAAAGTGACAAGCGATCAGTCCCTGTCTTTTCTGTGTTAAAAGGAATATTCAGAGGTTAATCGCAAGGTATGGTCTGTTAAAAGAATTTGTGGCTTGCTGTGAAATACCACAGAAAACAATTTGGACTCACCTAAAAGTTCATAAAAATACAAAAAATGCATTGACAGATATGCACTGACTGTCAAGACAAGACTGTCACTGACTATATTTGTCACTTTACACAGGGTAGCTCTGCCCACAGTTTAATATGTAAATGCTACATATTAAATTCTAGATAAATGATTGTGATTTTGTCACTTGTTCAAAATTTAGCTGTCAGTTAGGACAAATATAAGACAGACCTTTATACTGGACACTGTTATGCTGTTGGATTATGATGTAAAAGGCACTTTCCACAAATAGGGTACAATTTATTGTCCCATTAATTTTTTCAGCATTAAATGCACAGATTTTAGAAAACCAAACTATTTTTTATAGTTTTAGAAAAACTATTGTCTAACATCACATATATATAAATGAATCAAATATCTGTACCCATCTTAAAATAGAGATATTTTCGAATGTCATATAATTTTTTGACATAATATTGAAGTGCTCTTTAATTAATTGTGGTTAAAATCTAAAAATTGTGACGCCCAATAAGTAGCAATTTTTGCATAATCTTTTTTTCTACAGGAAGACTATAGTCTTATTCATTTTTAGTTTTTTTTTTCAAACCTGTCATCTAAGATATTATAAGAAAAATGATTACATAAATATTCTTTAATTTATTGGAAATTAATTTTTATTAATAACGATAAACCAAATCTCAAACTAGCTAGTCCCTACCGAGTGGCAGATTAATTTAGGCTAAAATTTCAGATTTTAAACTGGATTTAGATGTACAGCATTTTGGTAACATGGTTTGCAGAACTCTCAAATAAAATCGTATTTAAAACATTTTAATGTAATACAATTTAAAATTTAAGATTTTTTTTTTAATGTAAAATCAAATAGCTTAAATAATAAGTAAACTGACTTCCTGAAGTAGAAGTTAATGGTCAAGCACCTTCCTTGCTGGAAAGACTCTTACTTGTACCTTGCTTGTGGAAGGTTCCATAACTACTGTACAAGTCTTGCAGTTTCAATATAGTGATTTCAGCCTGTAAAGTTCATGATTAAATGTTCATCATGGTATGCTTTCTTTTGGTCGCTCAAAATGAGGCCCAGCCGGTGACGAGGGTTTGTAGATTCTTGTGCTCTTCATAATTTTTTCATCTCTTTTATGTAATAATGAGGTTATCACGTAACAACAACACTAACCTGTTCCAACAGCCTTCATTGGGCTGAAACTAAATTAAATTGAACCAGTAATGCGAAATGTTATCAAAGCAACTTGTCCGTATTCAGATATGAACCTTTTCAGTATTATATCACTTGTGTGAAGGTTGTATAATCTCATTTATAAAACCTGTATTTAATGTGTGCTCTTCTTATTTAAGGACTGCATGCTCCAAAACTGGTTTTCTTCTGCTTTGGCTATGCCTGCTTTTGTATTGGTGGTTTATTTAATCAAATAAATGTGTTTTGTTGACGTGGGTACTAATGTATTGTCCTTGTCTGAATGTCTGTGGTTTTTTCTTGTAGATTTAGTGATATAATACTGGAGGACGACAGTGGTATTCCCACACAGGCCTTTTTGGATTCTTGCTATGCTATAGTACCAGTTTTAGGTAGGACACTCTATCTTTCACTCTTTCTCCCTTTTCCGCCCTTTCCATGTCTCTTTCCCCCATCAGTCCAGGTTGCCTTATTCTCTGCTTTAATTAGTTATGTGCTTATTAAAGGTTGTGAAATGCTAATGGGGACATTGATTTTTGTCACTCTGTACATGTGTCGGTTCACCATGTGCTCTTGATTTTCTTTTTTATAATTTGCATCTCATATTAGTCCGCACAGTAAATACCTCATTCTCCTTCAGGCATGGTCATGCATGCTCTGCTATGTCTTTATACTGGGACAGTCCGGTGAGTATCTGACCAAGAACCGAGGCCAAGAACATGAAAATCTGTGTCAGCAATCAATTATTACAAAAGCTTTTGTACAAAGGATTTTCCTCACTTTCTTCTTAAGAACATACTGTATCAATGTGATAAAGATGACTGGGGTGTCATGCACTTTTTTTTGAGAGGGCAGCATTAGTCTTATCGGTACAGTTTTTAAACCTCACTTTTTTCTATAGTTCGAATGGGCATGATGCTTTTGAAAGTAATTGGGGATTGGGTAACGGTTGATCGCATTTCTCTGTGGGTGATGGTGGCTCAATATACTTCCATGCATGACAGGAAGACAGTAGATCGGGGAGCAAGTATATCTTTGGACTGCATATAAATTCCCATGAATTGTTATTTTCCACAAACGTATCTAGACCTTCACAAATAATTACATGAACAAAAAAATTGATGTGCGAAATGGAGCATGTTGCTGCTTCACAGTTACTGTGACCCTCACCAATATATGTGGGTCAAAGACGTTAAGATGTTCGCATCAAAAGAAATTTACAAAAGTGATTTTATGTCCATAGAAAGCACATTAAATGTAAGTAAAGTGTCTTATTTTAAGGTTTCAAATATGTTTTTGGAGAATAAAATGTCAAAATTTGGTTGAAATAATGTTACATTGTCATTCAGTGTAACACAATATTTATGTACAAATTCAAACAACATGCTTATTCTGACATGTACATATTAAAATATATAAAAGAATAAGGGAGCATATTAAATTTTATTGTGTTTTAAATTAGTAAAAAATTATTACTGACAATTGGGCAAAACCTAGGATAGTGGCACATTTTAAAAATGTAAAATTACAACTAATTAGTATTTGGGGTGAAAGTAATCATTTTAATATGTCATAGATGGATTTTTGTTGTAAATATGCCTGACAAGATTGTTACACTGAATGACATTTTAGTGGGTCTCTTCT